CGATGGGAGCACCATGGCAGAATTTGGCTGCATGTTTGCGAGCAGCTGTAAGACGTCCAGGAGTGAGACAGGGCAAAAACGATTGGATCAATTTGAAACCGATTTTGGGTGCAACGATCGAGATAATTTCGCGACGCGTCGTCCACGATTCAGCGTTCTTATAGGCTTCCGACACACCTTCCATGACGGAAAGGAAGTGACCATCGAGTTTGACCACGTTCTTATCACCAAGATGTGCGAATAAATCATGTTCCCACTGATTAACACCGTTTTGAGCCATGATGATCATCACACTCTTGATAATTGAACGAACCCGAGATAGATGGTTGAGACAAATTTGTCCCGTCAGCGCTCGGTAGTCATGAGTCACCCACGTTCGATTTTTGTTGCCACATAGGTCTAATAGATGATCAAGAGCTTCGCGAAGCACTTTCGTCGATTCTTTGTCGCAGCCGGGTACGAAATCATCATCGGTATAGGCATCCACATCTGAATTTGAGTCGTCGTCGTCTGATGTCTCTTTCGTATCTTCAGTATCTTCATCCCTTGTTTGTACGTCAGTAATAGTGCGCTGTCGATTCTTACGCCTTTCAATAAAATCTGATATTCGCTTCGATCAATAAGCTTGTTTGAAATCATCGTAACCTTTGCGACAGGTGCTACAAATAAATTTGCCGTACGAATGTTTGAGGTGGAAGTTAGCATGAATACGTAGCGCATATTTACGATTAATTTGTCGCAATTGTTTCGTACTTGGAGGAGACAGTCCAGATATCGACGCACAAGTATAACACTGCTTGCGCTTCCTTGGATCAAATTGACGGAATAAATGGTTGAAATGATGACCGCAAATGAATGTTTTAGTCAAATCGATTTTCGATTCGTCATCAATATCGGCTCGGTAGATGATGGCCTGAGCCTCCGTGCGCGCCTTTGGAAATTGACATTTTTTCAATTTCTTGTGTCGATCGACTAGGCACATGAGAGTGCTATTCTTGTCTACATCGCATTTACCATCGTTGACTAAACAGATCGTCTTCTCAGCCATTCGAACAGTTTGATGAAAATAAATCAAGCAGTCGTGAAGAAAAAAAGCGATCGGATATCACTACAATAATTAATAATTTGATTGAGAGACGTTCATTCTATGATTGCTAGTCTCTTTCTCACTCTATCACATCTTCTTTTTTCTTCTCTTTCCTCTTCATTTCGTATCGGTCATGGTGTATCGATGTTTCTCTCTTCACGACAGTGTGTTTGGGATAATAAAAGTTACTGTATGAGTATGTGAGTGTAGTGCACATCAATTTTTTTCACACACAATCATTATTTCTTTTGTTTTTCGATATAGTATCACTCAAAGCGTCCGAGTGAAGAGGTCAGACAAGAGGAAGGGGAGAAGCACATTCTTTGTTAGCTATATCTATATACATATATCAGCGCACCTGTTGCCCGAAGGTGAGAGAAGAAATTCGTGTCGACGAGATATGATAATGCTCAACTTAGATGAGCGACAACAGAGAAGAAGGAGAGAAAATATGCATTTTGATATGCTTGTATATTATAATGATGCTTCATTGAGAGACGGCAGCGGTTCGTAAAATTGATTTAGAACCAGCTCCAGAAAGTCTCTGCAGACGACATTCTACCTCTCCTACCTCAGTTTCGTCTTTATCTACGATTGAAAAATCGAAAAGGCTGATTTCCAGAATTTTTTGGTTTTCTACCACATTGGTCTTTCTCAGTATTTTGCATTTTTGGGCATTTTCCACACCTTTTAAAAAACAAAAACTGCAGTAAATCTTGTAGAGAATTGTTTTCTCTACAAGATAAGCTCATCAAATTTGTGGCCCAGAAACTTTCACGGTATAATTCTTTTAGAAAACTCCCAAACCCAGTTTTTCCTTTTTGGATTTTTGAAATTTTTGGTTCGCTAAATGTGATGTTCGAGACGTGAAAAGTACTCTAGTTTGTTCAATTTTCTTTTCTCTTTCCAATAAGACCTTGCTCAAAAAAAATGATCGCAAAATGGCTGAGAAGAAAGCGAAATACGACCTGCCCGATTTTTTGGAAAAATGAAAAAAATTGAAAATAGCTTTGCTTTTGAAAATCTCATATCTCGGTGAAAATGTTTTTTGTTACGCCTAAAAATTTGGCTACAGAGGTTTCTCAACATGGACTATCGAATGGACATAGTCAGATTCAAATTTTCAATTTGACCATGTTATGCCTCTTGAGCAGCATGCTCGATTTTCTCATGGATCGTCTCTTAATATTAAGTGTTAAGTAAAATCACTTAATAAGTTAACTTAATTAAGTCGAATTAAAAACAAAGGTCCACCCCTAGCTCATCAAATCGGTAATCGACTATTATCCGAAAAATGACAGAATGATTTCTATTCTACTACAAGGAAGACCGACGAACCTAACAATAGTACAAGTTTATGCATCAACCACAGAAGCAGATAAATCAATCATCGAGAAATTTTATATGGACCTACAACAACTATTGGACGACGCATCAAAGAAAGACACCATCCTGATAATAGGTGATTGGAATGCAAAAGTTGGCGAGGCAGAAGTACCTGGAATGGTTGGAAAGTTTGGTTTAAGAAACCGCAACGAGGTAGGAGAAAGACTGTTTGAGTTCTGCCAAGACAACCTGATAGTCGTCACAAACACGTGCTTCAAACAACCCAAACAAAGATTATACACATGGACAACACCGAATGAATAACACCGAAATCAAATTGACTGTATGCTGTGCAACAGAATATGAAAAATTTCGATAACATCAATCAAAACGCGACCAGGAGCAGACTATGGCACGGACTACGAGCTCTTGTTAGCTGGATTTAGTATCAAACTGAAACAGCCATACAAATCAACACAAACAGCAAAACCCACTTTACAAAACATACCGAACGCATACATGGTGGAAGTAAAAAACAGGTTCGACGAACTCAGCCTGATTGATAGAGAACCCGAAGAACTATGGCAAGAAATACGCAATATAATCAGCGACGAAACGGAAAGAAATATACCCAGAATCACAAAAAAAGAAGAAAAACAGCTGGATCTCAGTGAACACGTTGAAAATCGCAAGAGAAAGACGTGAAGCACAAACCAATGGAAACAGGCAAGTCTTCGCAAAACTCAATGCCGTTTTTCAACGCAAAGCAAGGAAAGATAAAGCAAGACAAATTAATCACGAATGCGAAAAAGTCGAAGAATATAACAAGAAAGGTATGACAAGAAATTTGTTTAAGAAGATAAGAGACCTTTAAGGACATTTCGCACCCAGGAATGGTACTCTGATAGATCAAAAAGGAAAACAACTATCAAATAGTGAAGAAATCAAGGACAGATGGGAAGAATATACTGAAGAATTATACAAAAAGGCACCCATGACGCAGAAAATTTGGAACTCATCGAATATGAACTGGAACTAGAAATTTTAGAAAGCGAAGTACGATGAGCTATGGAAGCACTGGCAAACGGTAAAGCACCAGGACACGATGGAATACCAATAGAATGTTTCAAGGCATTGAAGGAAGATGGAATCAAAGTATTGACAACGTTATGCCGGCAAATATTGAAACCACAGCGATGGCCCCTGGACTGGAAAAAATCTATATTCATTCCCATACCGAAGAATGGGAATGCCAAGGACTGCTCAAACTACCGCACGATCGCTCTCATCTCACATGCCAGCAAAATAATGTTGAAGATTATACAACGAAGACTACAACCGTTTCTCGAACGAGAAATGCCAGATACACAAGCAGACTTCTGCACAGGAAGAGGAGCACGCGACCGAATTGCCAACCTACGATGGATAATGGAAAAAGCCCGAGAATATCAAAAAGATTTCTACTTATGCTTCATCGACTACAGCAAAGCTTTCGACTGCGTGGATCACGAAAAACTCTGGAATGTACTCAAAGAAATGGGGTTGCCAACACATTTAATTGTCCTTATGAAGAACCTGTATACCAAGCAACAAGCATCGGTGAAAACAGAATATGGAAAAACCAATTGGTTTAACATTGGAAAATGGTACGACAAGGGTGCATCCTATCGCCATTCTTATCCAATTTATATGCGGAATATATAATGAGAAAGGCTGGCATAGGCGAAGCAACAGCTGTAATAAAGATCGGTGGACGGAACATCAACAATCTACGATACGCAGACGACACCACACTACTGACAGAAACAGCTGATGATCTGAAAAGTCTTATACGGAAGATAAAGGAGAAAGGTGCAGCTGCAGGACTAAAACTAAACATGAAAAAGACGTTCGTAATAACAAATGGACTCATTCAAGAATTCCACATCGACAACGACCAAGTGGAAATCGTCAAAGAATTCATCTTCCTTGGCTCCAATGTGAACACCGATGGCAATTACAGCAACGAAATAAAAAGAAGACTTCTTATGAGCAGAAAGGCAATGGTCAGCCTACACAAGCTCATCAGAAGTAAAGACATCAACCTGGCTACAAAGATTAGAATAATCAAAACGATGGTTTTTCCAATAACAACGAATGGGTGTGAAAGCTGGACAATGAAGCAAGCAGACCGAAAGAAAATCGACGCCTTCGAACTATGATGTTGGAGAAGGTTACTACGAGTTCCATGGACGGACAAAAGAACGAACCAATCTATCTTAGAAGAAATAAAACCAGATTGCTCACTGAAAGCTTCAATGGTCAAATTAAAGTTATCATACTTCGGACACATACTTCGACGACACAAATCAATGGAAAAAGAAACAATGCTTGGCATAATCGGCGGTAAACGCCGCAGAGGAAGACAAAAGAAAAGGTGAATCGACACAATAAAAGAAGACACAAATCTAACATTAAGACAATTAAACAATATGCCACACAACCGAAACAAGTGGAGAAGTCTAGTTCATTGGATCACCAAGAGTGGGACCCGACTGAATGGATAAAACACACACATATCACAAGTGAACAACATTTCCGAAAAAAAATGAAGGTAAATTCAACAAAAAAGACCAAACACATTGTTTTCATTTCATCACCAACTTTTTTATGTATTGAAATTAATGTACATCATCTTACTTATCGAACATTATTAGTTGCTGATAATCAATTCCTAGTTGAAACATTGAAAGCTTTTAGTTTCAATTCTCAAACATGCGAAAACTTTTTTAGGTAAACACGAGCAATATCTGGAACGTTTTCTGTATCTGCTAGTTTTTCTGTTCAACAATATCTTCATCAGCAAGAAAGAATTTCAATATTACATTCAATCAAAACTGAAACAAACTCATTATTTACAAATACTAAATTTAAATTTCCGAATCATCATAAAACACAACGGAATCACCAACAATCAACAACTCCACCAGAAAAAGTGACTAAACAGCAAATAGAAGAACAAGTTAATTGTGCATTCCAAGATGCTTTTCATCTTTTAGCTCCTTTAGGTGCTGGGCAAATTTTGAAAAAATCAAAAATTATTAACATGAAACAAGTTAGTCAACAGATTCACAAGCATTTCAAAAAGTCATCAAAAAAAGCAGATTTCTTAATAACAATGACAACTGATGAAAATAATGTTCAATCTGATTTTGATTCATAGCAAAGTACTATTGAAGAAGATGAACAAAACGAAATGGATTTATACGATTATGATAGTGAAGATGAAGACGATAATGGTATAAATTTATTAGGACATACGACCAATAGTCGTTTAATGACTACGAAAGGACTTTGTGATACTATAAATCCCGATTTGAAAGATTCATATTTTTTGGTAATTATTGATGGAAAAAAACAAATATCTTCATAAAAACACGGCGTGTTGGTATTTGACGAATGAAAAACATAAGCTATCATCGGAACGTTTGAATTGCTTAATGCAAAAATAACAAACTTGTTTGTTTTTGTGTACTCAAAAAGTGAGTACACTCTAGAATCGGTCAGTATGTCCGTCCCGCCGGCTGTTTTCACGATAACTCTTGAAAGGAGAGTTCAATCGTGATGAAATTTCTACACAGTTCAGTCTTAACAATGTCTCGATCGAGTTCGAAGATGAGCATGATTGGCCGAGCCGTTCCTGAGTTATTGCAAAAATACTCATTTTTTCCTATGGCTTCCTATGCGAAAATCGACCCATCCCCGCTTTCGTGAAAAACTTTTCCTATCATACTCAAACAAAACCCCAACTATTATATACCATTCGATAGATGATTTTACGAGCTACAAAATAGTATATAAAACATACAGTAACACGAAGGCTAACTCACCTATTGCCAGGATAATCAGACAGAAATAGGTTCTGTTTTCGTCCACACTCTAGTGGATCCGAAAATGGAGCTCTACCTTTCGATCACGGACATGATACTTCGAGGTTTTTTGGGGCGGAGAACTCGAATCTGTCACCCATTTGCCTTGAAATACCATTGGTTGAGCAGGGACCAATAGAAATCAAGTTATAGGAAAAGCGACTTTCTTAGGATAAATCAAGGCGAAGAGTTCAAATCTGAGCTGTATTCATCTCCAAATCCTATTGGTTGAGAGCAGCTAATAGAAATCAAGTATTTTATAGAAAAGATTTGTCAGGATAATTTTGATGTCCACACATTCTAGGATGACTCATCTGTCTCATTCACTTTTTGAAGTACACATAACTCGCGGATTTAAATCCGAGGTTTTCGCATTTATTTAAATAAAAAAATAGGATAAACATATATACTCCTAATCTCTGAATGTCTAATTATTCGATTATCATTGTAGATATTATTTTGTTGCTAGCACTTTTGCATATTTCCTTGCTTAGACAAATATTTTGACACATTTCTAGCATTGTTTGAAGTCATGGGCATTCCCGCGGAATCCTCCATGGAATCTCATGGAATCTCATGGAATCAATGGAATCACTGAGAGCTGGGTAGAATCAATGGAATCAGCTGCTTCCTCCTTGTCTGAGATTATGTTACTATCGGTTCTATAGAGAAATATCTTGATTTTCTCTTTATATTCGACTAAAATATCGCTATTTATGACAACATAATTCCTCATTTATGTTTATCATTGTCTACATATATGATTTCATTGTTAAATACATAATGATGTGATCATTTGTTGCTTTATTTTACCTATCTTTATCGCTAATGGCATAAATGTGGAGTTTTAGAGTCATGAATATAAAGGTGATATCAGAAAAAATGATTTTTTTAGTTAGAAACCTGCTGCCTTGAGTTTCTCTCAGAGTCTGGCATTCACTGAGCATTTAGGTTCTGAGCACGCTTTCATAACTGACACTAGTAGACGTCCCACTTTAACTCCTGTTCCACCATAACATCTCATACTAGCCATTGTTTACATCTAGGCCCTAGCTTCTGTTCTGACATCTGCAACCGTCTCGATAGCAGTTTTCGTCCCATACCCATCGAAGACTCCAACCCTTTCCAATTACCTAGCAGAGTATGCCTCTCAATTTCAAACACAATAATGATCTCTGCATCGGTCATTGTTTAAGTAGCAGAGTAGCACACGCTTTCGGTATCCGTACTAGTTTCCACTGCGTTGCGACAACAAATCTGGGCTTACCAATCGGCTTCAGGCATGACCTCGAGCTTGGTCTCGGTCTTCCTTCACGCTAGAGACAAGAACATCGTTCTGGTATTCAAATGATTTGACATCCGATCTAGCACACATCTTGGATTCAGTGACGATCCGAGAATCGACCCAATTTATGTTCCGTTGCAACATCATCCAGATTTTACGATCAGTTCGGCACCCGTCTAGATTTTATTGCACGTCCAGCTACACTTTAAAAAAGAAGTTTTCTCAAAAGTCAGAATCTCTTCGAAACTCTTTCGGAAACTCATAAGCGTATCTCAAAAGATTTTCAAACCCACACTGAGTTTCTCAAAACCGCTTCTGGATCTTCAGATCTGCAGCACCTATTGGGTTTTCGAGAAATTCCATCCGAAATCTTCCAATCGCGCTTTTAAAAAACCTAATACTATATTCAAGTAGGAGGATGTTCCCCCGGAAACCATGGTTGGTTTGAAAACCTTCTCGACAGCCTTAGTCTTTTGGACTTTCTTGATCGAAAATCTTGTTGAGTTTGTAGATAGCGGAAACGGTAAATGGGTTTGCCAGATATCAAGCACGGATTCCGAGTATGTCGCGGAAATCCATGAAGTATTATGGAAGACTCGAATAGCATCCGAATCAGAGGTAGGGCTCGTAGAAATACTTCAAATAAAAGTGCTATACTTGCACTTATACTTGTACTTCGAGATAAATACTTTTGTACTTGTACTTAAATATCAGAAAAAGTACTTGGCACTTTTACTTGATGTATGAATAAAATAAATTTTGTTGATAAGATTGAGTAGCTCTGAAAAGTTTTTAAAGATCATAATATTAATCTTCTCAAAAAAGTAAAGACAATATAATACTTTCATGAGAATTTTTTTTTCTTCAACATGCTAGTGCAGGACACTCGTAAGAGTCATCTGTTTTCAATATTTGAAGTTTTTCGAAATATGATAAACGTCTATAAATGATGACATTTGTTTGACTTTATATCATGACTAAACGCGCAGTTCTCCAGAACACTTAAAACAATTTACATATTCAGATTCAGATTCATGACGTATAATCCAGGACAGTTTCTTGCTTTACTACGTTTTCGGATCTTCGATAGGATTTTTCTAATATTAAGGGCCTCCCGCTCCCCCTCCTCCCTCAGACGAAGTCAATTTTTGTCAAATTTATCAATTTTGTGATTTATAGCTCATTAGATAGAGAAAGTATCTACTCTCGAATGCATTACAGTTGATTAATTTTATATTGAGCTTTCAGGATATTACATAGTTTTTTCTGAACCTCCATATTGAAAAAAAAAGGTTTTTAAAAGCTTATTTTGCGTTTTTCTTAAAATCTGTTTTTTCGAGTATACTGTTGCGCGGGCACACCTTACTCAATAACGATTCAATATAAAAATGATCATTTTTTTGTTGCATAGAGGACAGCTAGGGCCAGATCCTAACAGAGACTGATTTTTGAATTTCTCTGTTAGTGAAATAAAAAAATTTACATATTTCATTTTTCTCAGCGATTGTTTTGGTCATGAATTCGAGAATTTATTGCAGAGGATTTTTTAAACAACAAACAAAGAGAATTTCAAAAATCGGACTCTGTGAGGATCTAGCCCTAAGGGTACTCTACAATTTAAAAACCGCCTCGGCATGTTAGCTCGTATCCTGATTGTGAAAATCTTGCCCGCGTGCAGGGTACTTTTGACCAATAAATTGACTTAAACTCGTTAATATATTGGAGGTTTGGAGGAAATATTTCACCCATAATCTATCCTACCCTAGACTAATATTCTCGCAACATTCGGTTGAAATCGGACAAAAAATAACAAAGTTGGTTTCTGAGGGGGGGGGGAGCGGGAGGCCCTTAATATTAGAAAAATCCTATCGAAGATCCGAAAACGTAGTAAAGCAAGAAACTGTCC